ATTTGTAGGTGTAACACTGCTTCGCCGTGTACTGGTAACTTGCTGCCGTCCACCATCGTTGCAGAGAATACTGAAGGCTTGTACTCTTCGCGAAGTCGGTCGATTACTGCCTTGTCGCAGACGGTGTGCGATGCTCCGCTGTCCACGAATGCTTGGAGGCGTTGTCCTTTGCAGATGACCTCGAGCACGAGGGGCGGGCGTTGCTCGGAATACTCAAAGATAGTTTTGTTAATAGGATCATAGGGTACATCCGAATGTTCCGTACATACAATTTTCTTGCTATCTGCTCGTGGGTTAGCAGCTGGCCGAAGCTGTTTGGGGAAAGTCTCTCCCTCAGGACCCTGAGCTTTCATGAGGACTGTGTGTGTCGTTGATGCCGAATTTGCTGAGCTGGATGCATTAGAAGGAGGAGTTCGGGATTTTTGCAGCTTCTTGTAGACCCTTAGCTTCCTCTTGAGCTGCTTCAGCTCCACTGACGTTTTCCCTTGAGAACGGGTAGTCGTTGTGGGCTGGTGTCGGGAGAGGACGTTGACTCCGTGGAAAGGTCGGCTTCTTTCCACACTCCTTAAAATCCGCGGGTCTAGTGACAGTGCATCAGTTGAAGAAGCCTCAACTGTTTGGGAAGAATATCAGGGTTGAGGTCTGGTGAGGAAGAGGGTCACTCCAGTGCTACATATCCATGCTCTCCAATCAATTCCAAGCCTAGGCAGGAAAAATGGCATGGAATGGCTTGGAGAGCATGAGTATGTTACGCTGGAGTGACCCTTTTCCTCACCAGACCTCAATCCAGATATTCTTCCCAAACATTCGAGGTTTCTGCGACTGCTGCACCGTCACTAGACCTGCGGATTTTAACATGGTTCACACAGTGAAAGGATGCTCAATCGACCGTGCTCTGTTGCCCTAAGTTTCGTGGTGGGAATGCTAGATTTTGCCACTCTATTCGTGAATTTACCCTACAACGATACGACGAAAACGACCCATGATAAGCCGGGACCATTTAACTAATGGCATCTTTTGCCACCCCTCGGCTTGGCTAGTCTCAGAGATTACATTCAATCCGAATTCGTGCACAATACCTATGCATACGCTCAAATACTTCGCAATTTTCCTTGTGCTCACCCCCTTATGCAAAATGGTGGGTCCAGGAAGAGTGCGAGAAGCTTCATGCCAAGGTCTGCACTAACCTCGTAGATAACATGCCTAAGAGGGTGCAGGTGGTGATCAACACCAAAAGTAGGTGGACTAGTTACTAGAAACGCTGTTTGGAAGTTGGCTCTTTGTCCTGGGAAAAAACTGTCCGGATGTACTCGTTGTATATCTTTTGGAGTATGAATTAGATTTAATGTACTATTCTAGATCTTAGTGCTGTGAACGCATCCACTTTGTGCCTCTCCCAACGCGTATCACCATGCAGCTTGCACGTTTACCATGCAGTAGTCTGAAAGCCTAAAAACCCAACTTAGTGCCAAACATCCAGATGGTTTTTTCTCTCAGTGTAATTCAAAAAACGCGGAGCTGGTGCATACCAGAATCGGCACCGAATTAGTCGCCCCAGGCAGTTTTGCGAAGCAGGTTTTCCCGCTGCTTCTGCTTAGCTGAGCGCGGCTAAGTGAGAAAAGCTCTGATTACCAAGTGTCAGAGGATCGAATGTGTCGAGGAAAAATTGCACTATCGGTTGATACAAGATGCTTTTATACTTGCGAAGTACATCAGGTAACCAGGCTTATCCTATTCAAAGGGAATAGACCCTTCTTGAAATAGAATCACCTTGCGTATAGCCAGGCGAGGCTATTGGCTTTAAGGGATTACAGCAAGATTACGCTAGATATAGCGCGCCAGTACATCCCGAGCCTGGTCGGTGATATAATTATAATTATAGGATAACCCAAAGGATAATAAGAAAGGAGGAATAGGAAACCAAATGGGATGAGATAAAGATCAAAGAAATTAGGATAATTAGAAGAATGAGGTAGAGGAAAAAGATGGAAATGAGAAAGAAGTGTAACAGGGTTGTACTCTCAGAGTGAGTTTTTAAATGACCGCATAAAATTTATGGGACATGTTATTTCCACAAGGGCGTTAGTGGACCCGTGCAAGATCGAGACAGTGCAAGCCTGGCTACCGCCTAAGAACCTGCAGGAGGTGCAAAGTTTTTTAGGGTTCATCAAGTATGTTCAGAGATTTATCACGAATATGGCGGGGGTAACTGCACTGTTAACTGACCTTCTGCGGAAAGGGACTTAGTATAGGTGGGGGGAGAAAGAGCAAGCTGCCTTCTCTGCGCTCAAAACTTTTTTGTGTTCAGCCCATGTCCTTCGCATCGCTGACCCTCACCGTCCATTCGAAGTAATCACAGATGCCAGCGATATCGCCATCGGAGCAGTACTGTTACAGGAATTCGACGAAGACCTACAGCCAATCGCGTACGAGTCACGAAAGTTGCACCCGTCCGATCAAAACTACCTGATACACGACAAGGAGATGCTCGCGATCATGCACGCGTTCAAAGTGTGGCGGTGCTACCAAACGGGCGCAGACGTGACGGTACGGACAGACCACCGAAGCCTACAGTACATCCGCGCACAACCATTACTCAACCCACGACAGATTCGATGGTTGGATTTTATGGAGTCCAACTTCCATTTTACGGCCACCTACAAGAAAGCGGCATCCAACATTGCAGACCCACTTTCTTGCCCATCCGCCCATCTCAATTCCATAATCCTTGCCCAGACGTCCCCGCTATTCACAGACCTATTTACCCATGGGTACCAGACGGACAGATTCTTGACATCGGGTGCGTACGAACAGCTCGCAACGACTAGGGGAGTTTATTACGTAAAGACAGGGACTGATCGCATCTGGGTTCCAGAGTACAGTGTACCACGGGAGTTGCTTTTACAGGAAGCTCACGACAGTACCGTTTCAGGGCACTTCGAAGTGGAAAAAACACAGCATGCAAGGGGACGTGCAACGGATGTGGTTTCGTGCAGAACCTGCCAAACCATGAAATCATTGAAGCAGAAGCCAGGTGGACAGTTGCAGCCGATTCCGCCGCCTAAGCGCGCGTGGCAGCAGGTGACGATGGATTTCGTTACGGGATTGCCTGCCAAGGACGGTTGTAATGACGCAATATTTGTCGTCGTCGATAAGCTGACGAAGATGGCCCACTTCGCCGCCTGCAAGAAAAGCATCTCAGCCGAAGAAACAGCCCGCCTCTAAATCTCAACTGTCGTTCGCCTCCACGTAATCCCATCCGCCATCATTTCGGATTGTAACACGAAACTCACTAGCAATTTTTTGTGCAACCTCTGGGAACATTTTGGCATGCACCTGCAATTCTCCTCCGCCTACCACTCTGACACTGATGGACAGACCGAACGAGCTAATCAGACAATGGAGCAGCTGATTCGCGCCACCTGCTATGACGTGGCCAACTGGGAGCAGCAACTGCCACTGATTGAGTTTGCGTATAATAACGCCCCATTAGCCACTACACGACAATCACCATTTTAACTTAACTACAGGCATAATCCTACAGTACCGATCACGCCCAACATTGAAAATCCAGTACCACGAGCCCAACTGTTGGCCGAAATATTACAGAATGCCTGGGAGCGAGCAGCCGAAGCCATTAAGCGTGTGAATGTTATTTCTAAGCGCAACACAGACCTACACCGGCGAGCAGTAACTTACCACGCTTCAGAGACTTAGTATTGCTCGACACCCAGAACCTTCGATTGCCCATCGTCCCAAAACTCCGCCCCAATTACTGTGGACCATTCACCATGAGCCATATGATACTGTATCTTCCGTTACAGCCCATCATTCCACATACCATTGCTTCAACCATACATCGCCAGCACCAGTAAAATACCGCGTCACCGAGCGAACCTGAAAATCCGACCGTTCGCCGAGCCTACTGTCAAACCGGCGAAGGTTCTCATTCATGGATCAAGGACCCTCGAGGGGCCCGCCTGATCGAATTTCTGATATCTTGAGAGGATTGGGCGGCCCTAGAAAATAATTGGGTGACCCTAGCACAGATCGAGAATTGCCCGGTCTTAAGAGTCTACCTCCAGTCACGCAATGTGCGCGACATCGACGGTCTTAAGACCATACATTGGAGGGGGGAGGGTGTAAGGAAATGATATTTCCTTATCATATGGGTTTAGTCAGTAAGGTGTACACTGCTATAACGGGGTTTCCGCGCAGCTCTGCCACAAAATTCAAATCACAGTCCCAAATGTGGTCTAGAGACTGTTGTGATAAATGAAGTTTCGCATTCCTGCAAGTTCTGTTTACAGTGTAGTTAGCAGTATCGAGTTTCTCGGTAAGGAAACAGGTCCGAGTGCTGACGTCAGTAAAGCATCGCGGTTCTCGGGATGACGTCATATACCGCTTCAGTTACGCGAATAGGCGTAACGAGTCGTTTCAGTCACGCGAACAGTCGCGACCCTATAGTATGACGAATAGGTCGCATAGCGCGATAGCGACGAACAGATACATTAGCGAACAGGTACTTTCCCTAGAGCTATAAATTCTTGTAATGCCTTTCTATTATTAACCTTGACTTTACACAGAATTATGTGCTCAGGTTATTCAACCTTTGACTACGCACAATTTCATGTGCTCAGGTTCACTCTGATAAGACTTCCGCTGTTTTACTAGTCTACCATTCCAGCAAAGATCCTTGGTTAAGTACTCGTGTTAGCAGATTCTATACTTAGTCTCCTGCAACACCAGGAGATTTTATTTCAGAGACGAGCCACATGCATTTTGCCCGCCTTGCTGTTGCATGCCTAGATCCGGGCGCTTCGCGCCAATTTACGAACCACACGTCGCAGCTCTGCCGAGCCCCGACCGTGTGCTGCTCCTAGGCTAGCTATAACCATGCTCCCTGTTGTTTTGATGTTGCCTCAGTTGTGTTGTTTCCTCGTTAATCAATCCTTCGACACACACACTTTTCGCTTCATTGCAGCATGCAAAAGAATCCAGACATAATTTTCAATATATTTTCACATACCAATAGTAAATGGGGGAATGGTATGCTGTTCACTTAGTATTCCTTCGACACCTGATTAAGTGTTTCTCCATTGCCTCGCCTCCGCCTCATAGCCCGTAATCCCCTTCCTGCCCGCATTTGCATCTGAACTTGGTCACCGTTCACCACCACACTCCCTTGCCCAGAAAGCTCTCCGACCGCATGCAACGTCTCATTGAGAAGACCACCTGGTGTCACCACAGGAGCCGGAGGAGCGGGGCTCTGAACCGCCACTTGTTGCTGTGGAGGTGGCATCTGAGGAGGGGCAGATGCAGCACCCTGAGCAGCCGAAGCCACTGCCGAGCCTGCAGCAGCAGCAGCCGTGCCAGCTGCAGCGCCCAGCGCACTCCCAAGCAGCGCCCCGGCAGCAAAATTCCCAGCAGGTGCCACAGAAAAATCACCAACTGTGGGTGCCTCCTGCTGTGCTGGTGGTAGTGGTGGGGGAAACTGTTGCTGTGGCAGTGGTGGGGGCAACTGTTGCTGCGGCAGTGGTGGGGGCAACAGCTGTGTTGGCAGCGGCATAAGTGGTGCTGGTGGTGGCAGCATGACTGCAGGAGAAGGCACAGCAGCCGTAGGAGCCGACCCTGCAATTCCTGCTCCCTGCCCAACCCCTCCTGCTCCAGTCCTGTTGCCCTCTCCACTAGCAGCAGCTGCACCTGCCGCAGCTCCAGCGAAGGCACCAGTGGTGGCACCTCCAACAGCGCCCAGCAAGGCACCCCCCGCCGTAGTCACAGGGTTCGGAAAGAACTCTCCATGAGGCCCGGGGGTTGCGGGCGGAGCAGCTCCTGTTGCTGCCACAGCAGCAGTGCTGTTGGAAGAGATGGGTGCAGCAGTAGCAACAACGGGGGAATTTGTGGTGGTGGTGGCAGATGCGTTGAAGGACAGCTGGGCGGTGATGTTGGTGCTGGAAACTGTGGTGCCAGGTGGCGGTTGCCTGACAGGCGGTGGGGATGGCGCTATTGCGGGGAAGCCCGGGAAGGGAATAAACTGAAGCTGACGCCGAGAGGGCAACATACGCCGTTGCTGCTGCCTCACCATCCCACTGTTCTTCACTGTTTTCAACTCCGTGGCATGCGGAATCAGGGCTGGTTCCAGCTTAACCGAGACAGCAGCGCCATGAGGTACAGAACCAGGCACGGATGAAGCAGAGAATAGGAGAACGAGGGAAAGAAGTGGGAGCAGGAGGAGCAGGACGAGCAGATGGGAGAGTTGGTTGTCGAGTCGAAGGGGAAGTGAAGCTGTGGGCGTGGAAGAGGCGGCTATGGGGTGGTTGGAACGAGGGAGAGTGCTAGATGATGCCATCATTCCGATTTAGTCAGTTTTCAACAGCGCTCCGACTTCTGACCAGGCTGACAATGAGTCAGACTCAGAGCTCAAGCCTTGAGGTAGGAGCAAGCAGTATATCCTTCACAGGCAAACAGGCGACTCACAGCAGTAAATCTTGGCAAGATTTCCGATGAGAATTCACTGCTTGATACCAAGCTAACGTTTCGTTCTACTCAGCTCGATCCTGAGACTGCAGGCGTTTGAGATGATTATATTCCTAAGCGTGCCTCTTCTCTTCCCCCCATTTTGGAGAGCTCAGTCACTCTGAAAGATTGAAGCCATACGAACCTGTTAGGAAGTCTCCTGGTCTAACACGAGGGTTAATTGGACTCTTCGTGTAAGCCCCGATCCACCAATGGCGCCACTGATCGAATTACTAACAACAACTAGTCGAAAAAGATTCTGGCTGGCACGCCCAAATCGCCACTGCTCACGTGCTTTCAATTGGGAGGCGGATTCGAGCAGTTCTTGCACCAGCTTACGTCTCTCAAGCGGGAAGGTAGAGAATTCGAGAATCTTGTGATGGCGGCTGGCAAAACTTGGAAATCGGCTGCTCGTAAGCGCACCCGTGACGATTAGGAACCGAAACGACGCAGATCGAACATGATCATTCCAGGTAGCTGCGTTCGCCGTCATGCGTGCAGCGCAAGCTACGTGCTGTCTTTAGGCAGAATGAGAACGTCGTAGGGGATGTGAAATTGTTCGACCACACGCTTTGTTGCGTGCATCTCGAGAACGCAGGTACCCCAGTGGAGACTCGCAGCAGCAGCATTGATTCCATCGACAATTGAACATGTGGAGGAGTGAGGTACGGGGGGTTGAAGTGGGAAGGGGGAGTGGGTTATTGGCACAACATTGCGCTTCGAAATCATTGCAGCGAGCTCGTCTTGGAATGCACGAATTTTCTGCGATAAAGACGGACTTGCGTAGACGTAATACGACATTACATTAGTTCAGGCGCATCTATAGAAAAGAAAGATAGCTATTCCACAATGGCAAAGAGATGTTCAATACATCAAAGCTGGTACCTATCTTTGCACGTGTTATGCAACCAAAAAGTATATATAATTTTATGTTTGAGCTGACGCCTTCTGCGAATGTGTTAATGTGCCACCAATCTAAGCATTCAACGTATCACTCCTCTCCGCGCAAGAGAATGTTCTCGTCGTAACATGCACCAAATCTCTGCAAAATCAAGTTCGCGGGTTGTTGGATGGGGAGGTGGGAGAGAATAATGGACGGGAGAAGGGACAGGAGGATGGAGAATGGAAAAAGTGTGCACCATATAGTTGGATACAATTGAGTGGATTCGAGGAACGAGAGCTGAAATAACAACCAGCGGCGCGCAAGAATCTTACCGCAGTCCGGCGCCGCTTTCCTCGTCCCAGCTCCTCGTCAACATCAGCTGGTTGATTCTCCTTCCCTTCGCTGCTCGACTGGCACATGCGCTGAACTAGCTTCTGCAGTGCAGCAGGGCCAAGTAACCGCCTCGTGAGGCTAGCAGTATTTGGAGTGCAAGAATCTTGTGAGGAGTCTTGGGCAGAAGTATTGCATTGCCATGTTTCCTGCATGAGACGATTCGTGGATCAGTGGACCGTTTTAATACCAAGCACAAGGACGTAGATGTGCCAAGACCACTCACCTCCTCTTGCAGTTCCCTTTCCCTGTCCGCTGCAGCAAAAATAGCCTTCTCCTCCTCACTGTAAAGGAGCACAAACAAATGGCGAAGATTGTGGGCTATCAATAGCAGACATAATGGTGCTCAAGAGTCCCTTGGGCCAAAAGGCAGCTAGGAGAGCCTTGGAACACTTGCACAAGGCATGAACAATAAGCCCCACCCATTTCACTGGCAACCATGACCATGCATCTGCCACACTCGGTCCAGTTCACGCTTCACTTCTGCTGGGTAAATGTGCCAACCCGGTAAATGCAACAATACCTCCGTGCCAGCAGGTTGTTCAAGTGCGTGTCAGAGATCGCCAGGGAGCAGTAGTCATCATCTGGGGCAGGTAGAGCAGCCTCAAGCTCATCCACGCCCTGGTCTTCTGTGCGGAGCAGTGTCTCAAGGTATATCTGCCGTTCAGCAGCACTGTGGAAACACGGGACGGGTGAAAAGAGGCACCGAGGTCAGGATTTGAGCCAAACATGCAAAGAGAGTGTGTGATGCATCTCCCTGGGCTGGGCTTGATAGGAATGCAATGACGACAATGTCCAGCCTTTGGAATGAATAATTCATATAACATATACCTGGTCTGATTGTCAAAGAATCCGGCTGTGATGCTTTGATTCGCCAGCCCCAGCTTCCTCTCTGCGGCCGTACGCACACGTTGCTCAACAGTTCCCAACTGATATCGCAGGGGGGTTTGCGCGCAATGGATCAAGTGAGTGAGCTTATGAGATGCGGGAGACGTGACACTCTCTCTCTCTCTCTTAGAAAAAAAGACATCAGACGCTGAAAGAAAGCCGCAAGTGCTGCAAGGACAGGCAAAGAGAAGCGAAGCAAAACGTCACATAGCGTTGATCGACTCACGGTTTCTAGCCTTATGACAAGGACGTCATTTTTCTGGCCAATGCGGTGCGCCCTTGCTTGTGCCTGTAAATCGATCTGCAGCAGTAGAGTAAGAGGGAGGAGACAATGGTGGGAATTGGGAAGAGCCACACCAATGTGCTTTGCAAGTTTGTCTGTTGCATGGCCTTTGGGTCTTGGGTGGTGAACAGCAGAATGCCAGTCGAGTTATACCTGAGGATTCCAGTCGGTGTCATACATAATGACTGTGTCTGCTGCTTGCAGGTTGATTCCCACCCCTCCCGCACGCACACTGCACAGCAACAGTGACTCACAAACATGAGCTCAGTACTAACATGCAACAGGTGAAGGCCACCGTAATAATCTGGAACACTCGGACAGAACACACAAAGGGCCATGGATGGGGAAGGGACTCACCTGAGGAGGAAGATGAAGACATCAGACTCTGGATCGTTGAACTCCCGAACCAGCTCCTCCCTCTCACTCCCGCCGGTGCTTCCATCCAGCCGGAAATAGCTCCAGGGGCTCCTGGTTGAAGGTGAGGTCGAGCTGGGAGGAACAGGCGTTTCAGTTGTCTGGTCAATTAGCTGCTCCTCTTCTGTTTGCTGCTGGCGCCTCGTCAGCCGTTGCTGCCTGCTAGAGACCTTTGCTTCCTCCGCTTTGCCTTTCTGCTTATTTGTCTTCGCCAGCTTCTGCTGCTTCTCCTTCTGCTGCCGCTGCTGCTGCTGCTGCTGCTGCTTCTCCTGCTCCAGCAGGAGCTTCGTCGCCCACTCATTCTTCTCCTGCAGTTCCACGTGCGCCTTCTGCTGCCCCTCTATGTACTCCTCCACTATGTCCAGCAGCCGCGTCATGGTGCAGAACAGCAGCACCTTGTGCTTCGCGGCATGCAGCTTGTGCAGGATCCGGTGTAGAGTCTCCAGCTTGCCACACGTGCTGATCAGCGGCGGGAGGGGGCCGCTTGGGAGGTTCTCCTCCATCTGTCAAGAGTGTGGGTAGAAAGGGGGGCAATAGGGCATGAGAATAAAAGAATCGGCATGAGAGATGCTTTGCAACTAGTGTTGCAATGTCTTTGTGGTAGCAATGGCATCAAACGTTGTAAACCAGGGCCACGCGTTTCCTTCTGACCTCTTTGTCATGCAGGCTTGAGAGGAACGGGTGATTGCAGATGCCTCGCTGCTCCATCACCGCGTTCATGATTGAAGGGGCACTTCGTTTCTTCGTCACAGGGAGGATAGAATTCTGCAGGTTGCACAACAAGCGTCAAATGCAAGTTTAACAGGCAAAAAGGCATCCAGTAACATACAGAAAAACCCTGAAAACATATAGCTTCCTCCACTTTTGGTGCCAATCGTAACTGAATAATGGTTAAAATCTCGGCTTGAGATAATGAGACGGGTGCTCACATAAACACTGTTAGCCTGAGTACTGGCGCTGCCTGCAGTGGGAACTTGATGCTGAAGGACCTGCTGAATCAGCCACTGCTGGTACGCCGATGCCGCACATGGTATACGGCGCTCCAGGCGCTTAGGCAGCTCTGAAGCCACCTGGTTCGCATCCATAATCAGGCGCACACAAAGGGGGCGACAAGTTATATAGAGCGAACCGCAGAAAGTGACATGGGGCCAAGAAGAGCACGCATGCAGTGTTAAGTAATCTGATTAAAAATCAAAGAGGGTGCCAAGAACAAAGGTCGCCGTACTTTGTGCTTGAGCCGCCGCAAGACAAAGGGCCGCAGGACCTGATGCAGGCGGTTGATCAGCAGCAGCCTCTCCTCCTCGCCCAGCACATCCTCCTGCTCCGCGCTCACACTGCTGCCTGGAGCGCCTGTGCCTGCCTTCTTGGGCAGAACATGCGCGAGAGGCTGGGAGAACCAGGAGGCGAAATCTGATGCGCAGTTGAAGACGGAGGGCAGGAGGAAGTTGAGCAGCGACCAGAGCTCCTCCAGATTGTTCTGAGTCACGGCAAAAGGACACAGTTAGGGATATGTTAGAGAATCGGCTGGGGCACACAGGTGAAGCACAGGGCAACGATGTCCTAACCGAAGCAAAGAACTATGTATGTCGTATACCTGGATAGGAGTGCCACTGAGAAGAATCCGGTGGCGCGACTTGTACGACTTCAGGTGAGCATTAAGCTTGCATTCCGCGCTCTTGATTCGGTGTCCCTCGTCGAGAATCACGTACTCCCACGAGAGGCGGATCAGGCGCGGCCGGTCAAGCTTGCCCATCAGCATCTCATATGTGGTCACCACCACGTTTGGCACACCTCGCTCCTCCAGCCACTTCCTCTGGGCCTCCCCACCATCACTACCAGTGCTAGGAGGGCAGCGCATCCATGGGTTGATCTCACGACTGTACGGTGGGGTGTGGGGAATGAGGGGCGGGTGAGGAGGGAAGGTTGTGGGATTAAGGGAGGGGACAGTGGAGCGGTTTATAAGGTGAGTAAGGCACAAACCACATCAGAAGCGCTCAACAGAAAGAAACAAATGCTTTGAAGCACATTTTGGTCCTAATTTCATGCAATCCCCACTCCTCCCTCGATGAGCCAGTCTGTGGAATACCCTGGAATAGGCACCTGAATATAGCAGCCCGCTTGTCAGGCATGCCAGAGTATCTGGAGACACGGAGAGAAGGAGCCCACCGGCCAAACTCGGCCACCCAGTTGGGAAGAACAGAAGCTGGCGCCACAATGAGAAAAGGCCCCGGGATCTTCTTGACCTCCACTAGGTAGCAAAGGAGTGCAATTACCTGGAGTGGTAAGTGAACAGCATGCATGGCATAAGTTTGGGCGTTAGAGCTGATTGACGTCCATGGCAAAGCTTGCTGATGTAGCTAACAAATGAGGTGCACGTTTGTTGACAACTGTTATCTCACCTGGACTGTCTTTCCAAGCCCCATCTCATCCGCAAGAATACCATTAAGCCCATTGGCATGAAGTGACGCAAGCCACTGCAGTCCATCCCTTTGGTACCTGCCAGGCATTGAATCCATAGATTTTCCTCAGCGTGCATAGACAGAGCATCAGTATGAATACCCTGAAAACAGGCAACACTTGCATTGTGGGTATGACAAACAGGAGAGAGAAAAGAGAGTTAGCTGGTCAGAGAGAGGAAGACGTGGATAGACGGAATGGGTACTACTGAGGCACATACTCGCGAAGCTGTCCTCCTGAGAGGATCGCCGGCTGCTGGACAATTTCTGATTTTCTGCAGTAAGAGTTAGCAGAGCAGAAATGATTGGGTTAGAAACATACGCACACACTTGCAAAGATGTCATGGTTGCAGCAGAATAGCTACCGAGCATTCCCATGCATGTCAAAGCAGGCAGTCACACAAGGTCACTTTCATCTTACTTGTGCAGGAAGTTTGTGTAAGCCTTTTCAGCATCGAGGTGGTTTGACGCAGTTGACTGCAATGAAAGGAAACCACAGAAGTTGTTAAACAGATTGTCGCTCAATGCTAGAAATGCCAGGTGATGTTGCACAGACGCAGGTGCGAATCACTCACGAGTTCACCCGCATCCGGTTCAGCCTCTTCGTCCTCCTGGCCTTGCACATGGCCCTTCTGCTGCCGCACAGAAGCTATGCGTCCAGCAATCCGCTGAAGATGAGCCTCTGTCTCCTTGAGCAGGTTTTGCACCCTCTCGGACTTCATATTCTGCAGCACCACAATTCGTCTTCAGTACTAACAGCATGTACCAGCAGGGCGCAGCAGGCGTTAATTCAGAAGCTGCCTTACTTCTTTCTGACAGTCTACGCCAGGCGCACCTACCTTAACCAGCTTGAGGTAGCCTTCCATATCGTTGTTCCTTAGCAGCTCCACTTTCTGCCTTTGCAACATGAGCTGCTGCTCTTCATATTCTCTCTTCCGTTGCTCATGAAATTCCATAACCCTCTGGCACGTCAGCCGCCGTGTCTCTTCTTTTGCCTCAGCCACCTTGACCATGCTTTCCCTGGCACAAGAGCACCAGCAGCAATGTTAAGCTTTCATCATCCGAACATAACATTTCGCAGCAGGAAGGGACATTGATGAAGCATAAGTACCTCTGTCTGATGATATCGCCAAGAAAGGCCTCAATGTTTCGCTTCCTTCGGTTGCAAGCAATTTTAGTCTTCCTTTCCATCCAGCTCGATTTCAGAGCAGCGACACCTGTTGCTGCTGCTGGTAATTCCTGAACGCCTTCAAGAGTCACATTCCCGTTGACTGCATCTTTAGATACGGAGTTGGACCTTGCGCTTGCAGCTTGACGTTTTCCCAACACTTTATTCCTCTGCGAAACCCTTCTTTTGTCAGCCTCATTGTCAGGCTCCCTGTTTTCACCCTCGAGGCCAGGCTTCCCACCTTTCGCGGCCCAGCGCTTCCAGAGACTGATGAGGCTTCGATTATTGAACTTGAGCCTAGGCGTGCGCAACAGCAGGCCAGCAGCGAGCTTGAAGTCGAGCACAATGTCCCTGCACAAGACCACTGTCATTTCTGCGGTCCCATAAGGTTACGATCAGGATTCGATGGGACTGTAACGGCAAATCCGCTGCTTACCGGATGATTCTCTGCTGAAATTCCAGAAAGCGGTCCTTATGCGACTCGGGAATGGAGCTTATGAGACGCAAATGACCTTCTGGGAGTAAGATATCCCGGGGCGTAGCCGAGCAGCTGGGAAAGCTGGCACGGATTGTGCTTTTGTTTTCCTCGTTCTCTTTATCCCTGGGAAAGTCGCCAGGCTCTTGCTTGACCTTGGCCTTGGACTTCGATTTTGTATTGTGCGATCCATTTGGCGGAGAACTCTTCTTGTTTTGTGCTTGGGATGGAGTCTGCACATCACACAAAGTAAACAATTCAGCAAGATAGGACTGGTTCTAGAGGCTGTCGCTGTGACACCTGGCTCACTTTTTTCGTCGACTTCTTTGACGGCGGTTCCAGTGCCGCTGATATTTTGGACGACATCTTTCCTTTGCACTTTATCTCCAGCTCTGAAACCCCAAGAAAATTGTTAGCATCCTAAGTGCTGGTAATTCGTGGTCGTGCATCCAGCTTCAGGGACCTTGTTGGAAGCAGGTCGTTCAGTGCCTGTTAATATCGTCAGTTACTACCTTTCGCTTCGTTCCGTGAAAGCCTCGGGAGCCGCCGTAACGCCAACGCGAGGTCCGAGCGTGGCGGAACCTTTCCATTCCTGAAAGGTCGACAGTTATTATGTACAATGTGAGCTTCATCGTCGTGGCGTTAAGGATGAGCAAGTACCTGAATGATATCCACACATTTATCTGAGCCCGAAGTTGGCCAAGAGCATAGATGCTCATGGGTGATTCCTTCTCATTTTCATCCATTGTGACTTGCTGAACCGTTTCAGCGATGTTCAGAACAGCTCAAGCTTGCAAGTGGAAAATCACACTGAAGGCTATGGTTGAGAAACAGCAACATGATTTGTGCAGTGGGATCAACATCATCCAGTCCAGAACCCAAGGTTTCTGGATTCCCGAAGTTGACGATGGCAAGGCCGTATTTGAAAACAGGAGCTTGAGGATGTCTTGAAATCGAAACCGCTTGCCTTGTGTTCGGTTGTAGAAGAAACTGGACACGAGGCCGAATTCAATCTTGCAGCCTTGTCCCATATTGAGCCAAAATGCTCCCCGTTTTGACACAGGATTGAAGCAGGCGTCCAGGCCTAGCAACCGCACCCGGCCAAAAACTTCCCCTGCGCTGTCTTCAAGACTCTTTCAAATCTGCAGAATGCCCATATCCTTATCATGCTGATACATTCACAGTTCACATGAGGTCAGTGGTTATATATGTTTCCTATTGTGCATCTATGTTATCATACATATGGGGCCTTGTTTGAATGGCGTCGTATATAAATTGGTTAGCCTAAATCGTAAGCGTCCTCTTATTGTCGTGTTCCACAAGTTCAAACTTTTGAAATGTTGGAGGGAAGCCTCCTGGTCGGCTGCTGCTATATCGGATAACCGAATGCCGTCAGTGAGGGCCAATTCCGTAGCCCTGCCCCTCACCCATCAACCCCACTGCCACGCGACTGCTGCCTGCACTTTCGCGCCATACCGTTCAAAATCCACGAGCCGCTGGGTCTTTCTCCCGCCACGCCCCCACAAGCATGATGACACTTGCAGCATCGCGAAGGTTTTCAAATATTGCTTAAACAGAGTTACCCGTGTCGTGAGGCTGATCTCGCTGTCGCGAACGTCGCAAGTCAGAGTTCCCGAGACGCACAATGACATCACATATGGGGCGGTTCGAGCTGTTGGAATTGGAATATGCAGCCAAACGAGAATTTGAAAACTGCATTGGACCTCTCCAATTTTCCCCCAACACGCAATCCGTTGTGCAAACTCTGAACTCGAGGCTGGTTTCGCCGTCGCTAGTCTGGCATCGTTTCTCGTCGCTCTCCTCTGGCCCGCGTATCTGTCGATGCAACACTACCGCCTGGGCGTGACGCATGGAAGAGGAATCACCGTCTACCGTCTACCGTCTGTCCAGCAGTGTTGTCAAAAGCCTCGAGAAGCCATTACGAATAGCCTGGAAGAGGAATCAATCTTAGTACCGTGGCGACTTCGGTTGTGACATAGCTCCGAGTTAACAAACGGACTAAACTGAAATGAATAAGGCTACCTCAAGTAGTAACCAGGCCATACACATCGTGCCGCTCTGGTCAGTCTCAAACCAGGAGTCTCCTCCTCGCAGTCTTAATTTCGTTTCCAGGCAAGCGCAACGAGAAACGATTTGCGGATCATAGGGTGATTGTTTAGCACCCGAAACCTCATTGTAGTTTCCTCAGAAGAATCATACGAGCATATAGCTTTCCAATGATGACATGGGTACGCCGTAGACCAGCTTTAGGGCTTTTCCTTCTAGTTTCGACCGTCCTATCCTCTCTACCCAACCTAGGCCATTCTCCCTACGCTACCCTCCTGGCCTCCGCTCAGCCGATCATAAGTCAGGTAGTTGCCGGAACAGACGGCAATTTCGCAGTGCAGATCACGGTGCGGGATGTAGCGGGGGCTGTAGCGGCTGACGTGGCAGACCTCCGGCTCGTATGGTCCAACGGCACGGCTATTTGGGAGGGCAAGGAGTACGGCGACAGGTGGCGGCTTCTTCCAGGTGTCACGATCACGCTGTGCCACGGTGGCGGGTCGCTCATTCTGGAGCGACTATGCGACGTTGTGGTCGAGGTGCGCGAGCGACTTAGAGACTTCGCCGCGATTGTCGCTGACACCTGCCAGCTCACGTCATCACTCCTCTCCTGACTTACCTTCACTCTCACATTATTGCCGATAAAATCCCTCGATATACGCCCGCTCCATTCATCGATTGTGGCTAGGCATGGGGAATGGAAGATGATAGTGCCTAGCTTGAATGAAGAGGCACGGCCCTTCGTCCTTGCCTCTATTGTGACTAGTTCAATCTTCCCTTCCCCTCCGCCCTTTTACCCTCCGCCCCCTCCCTCTCCGCCCACCCCGTCCCTCTGATCCGCGCAGTCACTCCGCTTCGGCCCCTACGTGTCGTTCAACCTGCTCTGGCAACCGCCGGATCGCGCCCCCACCAGGGACATCGTGAGTGCTCTAGGAAACTACGGATGAGAGGCTTGGAGAAGGAGAGGTATAGGGGACTTGGAGAGGTAGAGAGAGGCTTGAGTAGGGGGGACTTGGCGGGGTAGGGCAGAAGCCAAGCAGTAGTAGGGTCGTGAAACTGGACGAATGAAATGAAATGCGTAGTGTGAAGGTGCATCAGAACGATTAGGCTGGAGGCAGTCGGAGGGTATCGACCACGAGGGGGGGGCACGGAGGACCGCATGCAGAGGGAATGGCGTGCCATATCCACTGTATACGTGGGCATGGTAGGCTACCATAGTAGGGGTTCTTTCCTCTCGACTGGAACAGAGTAGCCGTTACTTCTTCTTCCTTCCTGTTATCCCCTTCTGTCTTCCTCCTCCTCCTCTTCTCTCCGTTCTTTATCTCTTTCCTCTCCGTCTCATCTGCTCTCCTCGTCCCGTCCCTACCTACACGCCCTACCGGTTCGGCCAATCAACTCTTCGCACCAAGTCCTCCCCCTCTCCTTCCTTCAATTCTTTCTTCCGCTCTCTTCCCCCACTCCCCTACCCCTGCGCCTTCCTCTCTGCCCCTACACTTCCCTATTAGTTCGGGAAATCACCCCTTCGCACCAAGTCTTCCGCCTCTCCCGGCGGCGCAGCCGTCGTCGCCGCCGCCGCCTCAGGCGGCGAGAGCTCGCGCGTCCTGTGGTGGGGCATCGACTCCAAGGCCGAGCACAGCAACAGGGGCCGAACCGCGGTGCGGTCTGCGCACGCCGCGTCGCCCATGGTCAACTGGACGGCGCCGGAGCGCGACTGGACGCTGCTCCCCGCGAATCTAATGCTCTCGGGCGGCGTGGTTCTAAATCTCGCCGTCTGCTCCGCCGCCGGATGCGCTAAGATCCCGTCTTTCCCGCTGTCCCCGTGCGGGCCCACCGGCCCAGCCGCGTCCCCCGTCGACTCTAGCCGGACCATGAGCTTTGGGTAGGCGCAGGGCGAGGTCGAGAGAGAGGTCGAATTTGAGAGAGGTCGAGAGGGAGAGAAGAGGAGGGAGAAGCGGGGGGGGTGCGAGACGGAAAAATGAGAAGGAAGTAAAGTGTAGCTTTGGGTTCGACTCAAACGCAGATACGATGATTCGGATTGTGAAGGCAGAGGTGGTGCATTGAGTGCTCTATCAACCAATCCTCCCTATGGCATCAACATCTGTGTAGCCCCCCTGCTTTTGTTGCTTCTCACCCTTTCTTTCCCTCCTCCCACTTCCCTTCTTCTCTCCCGTTGCGCCTTCCCCCTTGTGCTGCGCGCCCTCCCGCCTCGTCCCGGCCCTCCCAGCCTGTGGTCCTTCGACTCCCGCCCCATGCCTTGCAGAGGTGAGCGTGCCATGCCATGCCCACGCCCACGCCCATGCCCATGCCCACGCCCATGCCCACGCCCATGCCCACGCCCATGCCCATGCCCACGCCCATGCCCATGCCCATGCCCATGCCCATGCCCACGCCCATGCCCATGCCCATGCCCATGCCCACGCCCATGCCCATGCCCATGCCCGTACGTCCGTGCATCCGTGTATCTGACTGGCTGGCCGTGTAACCCTGCAGCAGAATTCTCACCCGTTATCTTTCCATTCCGCTTTTCCTTGTCCGTCGTCCATCCCGCTTACCCACAATCCTCCTACTCCTCCTCCTCTCTCCCCGTTCTCTCCCGCTTATCTCCCCATTCCCTCCCCATTCTCTCCCCCTTCTCACGCAGGCACATGCCCCACCCTCGATACCTTGCTGAGACGCGGCTCGCCCTTCATCCGGAAATCACGGGGTAAGATGCCTCCGCTCATACCTGCACACATGTATTTAAGCACCCATGCACCAAAAGCACCCATGCACCCATGCACACATGCACCAAAAGCACCCATACACCCATGCACCCATCCACCCATGCACCCATGCACCCATGGACCCATGCATGCAAGCACACATGCACACGTGTCTCGTCAGGGTTTAGGGCTGACCACACGCAGCACGGTGCACTTTGAGTCAATCTTAACAGCTCCCCCCTTCCCCTACCCTCCTCTCCTCCCCTCCCCCATCCCCTCCCCTTTTCCCCCCGTTCCCCTTAGTGCACGTGTGGGCGCTGACCGGCCCGACAGCATGCAGCACGGTGCACTTTGAGTGCCCCCGCACGCACCTCATCTCTCCCGCTTTTTCCGCCTCCTCCCCCCATCTCCTCTCCCCTCCCCCTCCCCCCGTTCCCCCCAGTGCACGTGTGGGCGCTGACCGGGCTGACAGCATGCAACACGGTGCAGCAGCTAGCGGATCAGGCCAGCAGTGCCACCTTCCCCAAGTTCGGCCGGTAGGGGCAGGGGGGGGTCGGGGAAACGGGATAGGGAGGGAGGGGGTTGGGAACTTGGGAGGTCGGGACTAAGACCATGGGGGCTAAGAGGACGGAAGGGTTCGGGCCAGCAGCGCCACCTTCCCCAAGCCCAGCCGGCAGGGGGACAGATGGGTAGGGATTAAATAGGGAAGTGGGGAGAGTCTGTCAGGCACCACAGACACCACACCTGTAGCGCTGTCAGACACCACACCACAGACACCAGCAGCAGAGCTGCAACCGTCCCCAAGCTCGGCCGGTAGGGGAATAGGACGGAAGGGGATAGGGAAGTAGGTACCACGCTAGTAGCAGTTGCAATCCACCTACCTCCACCTCGCCCCCTCTCCTCCCCGCCTCCCCCACTTCCCCCCCTCCCCCCCTCCCCACTCCCCCCCCAGCTACCGCGCGTACCACGTGGCGGAGCAGCCGTCCCCCGCGCGCCTGAACGAGTCGTGGCGGTCGCTGCCGCTCTCCCTCATGTCTCTGCACGCGCCCCTGGGGGCGCTGCCCCTGCAGAGCACCGTTGAGTCGGAGCACTACCCCATCCCGGACTCCGCCTGCGGGCTGCCGGACGGACAGGCGGGGAAGACCCCTCCGCCCACGCACTTCGTGTCGCAGTGAGTTGGATGAGGAGGAGGAGGAGGAGGGGGAGGGGGAGGGGAAAGACCCTAAACCACTCCGAACCTTCGCCTTGTTTCACGTGTCACGTGTGATTCACACGCCTTGTTTCACGTGTCACATGTGATTCACATGCCTAGCTGCTGCGCAGCAGCGCTGACACTCTGACATGGCAGGTGGTTCAGAACACTCTGTCCTCGCCCTCTCCCCTCCCCTCTCCCTCTCGCTCGTTCCACCCCAGCTCGCCGCTTCTCCCCTCTCCCTCCTAACTCAACTACCTACCCACTCCCTCCCCTCTCCCCCTCCCCCTCCCTCAGTTTCAACGTGGCGGGTGTGCGGTTCGCAGTGGTGGGGGTGTACCTGGTGCTGGGCGTGTCTTTCCGAGGCAGCTTGCCCTGTGCCATTAGGGAGGCGCAGGTGAGCCCATCAATAAGGTGTCCCTGCTCCACTTCACGCTCAACTCCATTCCTGGCACTATGCTCGGCACTATGCCCTGCACTCCGCCCCGCACTATGCCCGGCACTATGCCCGGCACTATGCCCGGCACTATGCCCGGCACTATGCCCGGCACTATGCACGGCACTATGCCCAGAGCACTGGTACTCTCCATGGCACACTCAAGTAACGGCGTCTGTCCACCTCTCATCTCACGGCTCTGGGCATTGGGCCCAGCACAGGGCACACTCTTATCCCACTCGCACACAGCTGCTGCACTCGCAATCCTCCGCCGCTCCCTCTCTCTCTCTCTCTCTCTCAAGCGGTCCTTTATTATGATCATAAAGGGTACACGGGTACAGAAAGGGCGATGTATGTCCTAGGGCTCCCAAGCATCCTACTGCTGCCCGGGCCACCTGTCGCAGGTAGGTTCTATGGTGGCTCTCTCTCGCTCTCTCTCTCTCTCTCGAATGGTCCTTTGTTGCTGGGGAATCTTGGGTACATGCTAGGCAGGTGGAGCAGGCATAGGCAAATACTGCTGGTGGGAAGGTCTGGTACCCGTCCCTACCCCCCCCCCCCCCCCCCCCCTCTCTAGGGTTCTATCACAGCGAAGCAGTCCCCGAGGGACATGCCCGCTTCAGGCCCCCCCAAGGGGGGCCACTCCAGCGGTGACGCCTCGTTCACCTTCCCCAGGTAGGTGAGTGCCTGCCCCCTTTGGAGGATGACGGACCAGCGCTGGCGGAACTGGTTAAGCAGTTTCGCCGCCTGGTATGAGGTGGGGTCGGCGTTGAAGAGGCGTCGGGCGGCCGTGTGTGCTAAGAGTTTGAGGAAAACCGGCACTTCCGCGCAGGGGCAGCCGTATGTCTCGACAGCAAGTGGGAAGAAGCCGACGTACTCTGCCCTGTGGCGGTACATATCGATCTTCTTGTCCGCTTGCTCCCTTGCCATGTAACCGCGCCCCTTGCGGGCGAGGGGATCCCTGGAGCTGACTGGGTCCGTGACTGTGACGTTGCAGATCCAGACTGCTCCCGAGTCCCGGTCCCGGATGGCTAGGTCAGCTGTTTTGCCGTCGACCGAGTTATATAGGGCTGTCTCTTTCGAGACAATGAGCTGCGCGTCTTGGCCCATACGGATGCATTCGTCCCGGAGGGCGTTGTGTGTATCGGTGCGCCCGTGCCCTGTCCCACAGAGAAAAAGGTGGTTGGGGAGCCGTGGGTCCGGGATCTGGGTCTTCTTGGCGCAGTTGCACACTTTGGGCGGGGGGAAGGGGAGGCCCATGCGGAAGGCGAGGGCTATGGCGGAATGAGGGGGTGCCAACCTGAGAGATGGGAAGAGGGGGACTGCTAGGAGCCAGTCCCCGGCTCCATACCCCGTGAGGGAGAGGAGCCGCTGTGTGTGACCGCTGAGGGGGTTGAGCTCCATGTCCCTGGACGCCTCTAGCTGCTCGGCAAATCGGGCGGCATGGACCTTTAGGGCAAGGCGGTGCTGGAGCGGTGCGTCTGAGGGTTCCGTGAGCTCGGCTCGCAGGAGTTCCAGGGCGGGGGTCGGCAGTGCCGCTTCGCACTCGGCCACCCTGTAGGGTGGTGCGAGGGAGCGGGCCACCGTCCCGAGGGGGCCCGATGGGTCTGTGGGGAGGGAGGCCAGGAGACGTTGGGCGTGTGTGACGCTGGTAAGGAGGGCATGGGGACCCTCTACCGAGGGGTCCGTCAGCCCGAGCCTGCCGAGGGAGGGGGGGAGCGAGGCCTGTTGCCAGGTGCGTGCCATCTCCTGTTCCCCCCTAGGTGGCTGGAGGTTGCAGGCCCGCAGGAGGGTGAGGTAGAGTTGCTGCCCCCACTGGGACCACTCCTGTGCTGGTAGCAGGTTCAGCGGCGTCGTGTGAGTCAGGTAAGAGACTCGGCGAGAGACGCAGCGGTGGAGGAGGAGGCTGGCAGACTGTGGGTCCATGGCTGCCAGGGTGGGTAGTGGCTTGGCCATCGCGGCTAGTTGCTCCTGCAGGAAGCTGGCCGCGGCGTCTGGTGGCCCGATATGGCTGCCCAGGATCCGCAGCCCGGAGGCGCAGAAGGGGATCCCGGGGGGGAGGGGGTCGGGGGGGGGTTGGGCCGCGGACCACGCAGCGCACTTAGCCGGGTTGTGGGTTAGGCCCAGGGGGAGTAGCGCATGGGTGAGGTGGGCAAATGCAGCAGTGCAAGCGGCCGGCTCCCCCATCAAGGTTATGTCGTCGGCGTATGCCAAGCAGAGGACGCCGGGGAACGCTAAGGCTGTCTCACGTAGGGCGGGATGCATGGCTGCGGCGAAGAGCAGGGGTCCCATGGGGTCCGCGGGCGCTGACGCTGCGGGCGCTGAGGAGGGGCTGGCTGTCAAAGCTCGCGTCCAGGAAAAGAGTGGAGGGGGCGCCATAGGACAGGCGCACGAAGGGGAGGAGAGGTCGGAGCGGGGAATTGTAAAGCCCCGTGATGATGGCTCCGCGGTCGACGCTGTTGAAAGCGTTAGAAAGGTCAAGTTGAAGCAGGCGGGCGGATGGGAATTCCGTGGCGAAGGCTCTCGCGGCGTGGATTATCGCCTCTCTGCCGGCCCTTACCGCCACACCGAACTGTAGTGGGAGGAAGTGGTTTTGGGCGGGCTCGTTCATGGCGGCGAGGCCCGCTTTTGCCACTAGGCGGTGGAGGCATTCACCCACCGCTATTGGGCGTGTGCCTCCCTCGGGCTTTGGGAACGCTAGCAGGCGGCGAGCTGTGAGGAGCTCAGCTACCTCTGGCGTGGTAGATCCTTTTAGGAGGATTTCTGCTACCCCGTGCAGTTTGCTGGCGACTGAGGCGTTCGCGAGGGCTGCGTCGCGAAGATGTTCGAAACACATGCCCGACGGCCCCGCGCCGCCTCCGTTTTCGCTGCGGCTGAGTAACCGAAAGAAATCCGCCAGCGAGACGGAGGCTCGGACTCGTCGAGGGAGGGCCAGTCAAGGGACTCGGTCAGAGGGGGGGGGTGTTTGGAGGTCAGCGCGACCAGGACCTCTGGCGTTGACTCGCTGACCGGAGTTGAGTCCAGCGCCAGCAGGGCGCGCCTGAGGCTGCCACGACGGACGAGGCCCTTGGCGCGGGATATTTTGCCCAGGGTTTCGCCGGAGTGTCGTGGCGAAGGTGGGTTGTTTATCGAGTCTACTGCAGCCAGGTACAGCGATTCCCATTCGCCGGCCAAGAACTGCTGCAGTCTCCGCTCGACCCCTGGCCAATCTGGGTGGCGCGGCGAATTGAGGCGAAGGGTGAGCCGGGGGGTGAAGAGTAACAGGCGCCAGCCAGCGAGGCTGGATGGGTTGTTTGCGATGTGGAGCAGGGGTGTTAGGAGCGCCAGGGCGAAAAGCTGGCGTAGTTTGTGGCGTAGTCTCTCTCTCTCTCTCTCTCTCTCTCTCTCTCTCTCTCTCTCTCTCTCTCTCTCTCTCTCTCTCTCTCTCTCTCTCTCTCTCTCTCTCTCTCTCTCTCTCATTCAAACCTCGTTTCGTGAAGACGTGAGTCCGCCTCTCCTGAATACGGACTGGTAGCTCCATTGAAACCGCCCAGTTGATTACTGATCTGATCCTCTCCAGTCCTGTGCTCTGTCCCATGCCCTTCTCTGCATGTGTGTTGTGTGCAGGCAGTGGCAATGGCGCGAGTTGTGCGGCGGCTGCTGCTGCGAGGGGAGGAGGTGGTGGTGATGGGCACGTTCAATGACCTCGATGGGGACCTCTCCGCCGTACGTGCTGCCTTGTGCTTGCTTGCCTGCTGGCTTGAGCACACACATGCACCAACGCCACCTGCATGCATACTTGTGCATCATTTTCAACGACCCTGTTGGTGACCTCTCCGCTGTACGTGCTTGCTTGCTTGCGCACATATATGCATGCCAACAGCTCATCCGCCCACCCATCCGCCCACCCATCCGCCCACCCATCCGCCCACCCCGGTCAGGACCTGGCCATGGAGAACCTGGATCCGGTGTCCCGAGTCATGCAGATCATCAAGGTCAGCCAGCCCCCCCTCCTGTGCAGCTGCCATGCATGCCCCATGCAATACCCTTGCATGCGCCATGCATTACCCATGCATGCGCCGTGCATGCCCCATGCATGCTCCGTGCATGTGCCATCCCATGAAGTCAAACAATCTCAGACTGTCTCCATGGCCACATCGGACCAACCCTCCCCCCTCCCCCCCCTTGTTTTTTCCAACCCCAAACACTAGAACTGAAGCCCTTCTCCCTGCTTTTTTTAACCTTCACCGTTTTTTTTTCCGGTGACCCTTTTTCTTTCTCTCGCGCTGGCCTATCACAGGATGCCACGTCAGAGCGCTTGATCAATGTGGCGGCTGCCTTACCCTCGGAGAAGAGGCAGACGGCTGCACTGCAGGTAGTGGGGGATAGATATTTATCTAGCTGGCTCTTGAGGCGACTAAGCAGCCACTGTGGGGATGGATAGATTGGTACTGTTAGGGTGCATGGTAGGGTGGCTGTGATTACTGTTTAACTTGCACGTGGAATGATGCCAAGTTTGCTGGTGATCGGATATAGACTACTTGATGGGTGGATGTCTCGCTGACCAAACGCATCCTGCTTTATGGGATCACACGCCCCTCCCCCATTGCGTCCCACACAGAGCAACTTCCTAACTTCATATCTCAGCATCTCGACCCTCAACCTTGCCGCCCTATGCCCCTCCACACGCCCCTCTTGTTTCCCCCGCAGACCAACTTCATCCTGATATCGCAGCACCTGACGGATGCCATCAGCATGGACACGGAAGTTGAGTTTTTAAGACGTCTCAAAACTCAGCTTACCCTACGCTGCTCCTCCACACACACGCGCGCGCTCCCCTCTTCCCCCCACCCCCGCAGACCAACTTCATCCTGATATCGCAGCACCTGACGGATGCCATATCCGTGGAGATGCCCCACGTGGTACGATGCATGGCGCATGCGTGCATGTATGAGGCATGGCATGGTGGGCATGCCTGTTACGACAGACACTGTCGTCATTGTGTGGCCATTCTGAACCGTTGTCATAAACCATGCATGTCGTCCAAAGTGCGCCATATCATAACATCCATGGCACCATTTTGCATCTCCTCTTGCAACCCATGCTCACTCACCTCGTCGCCGCTCCTGCCGTCTCTCTTTGTTCCTCCTCCTCCTTTTTCCTTCCTCCTCTCCTTTTTCCTCCTGCCCTCCCTGTTCCCCTGAGCAGAAAGGCATGCCATACAACCCAGTCATTTTGAAGCTACGCTTGCAGCAACGACACTACCGCACTCCCTCCCCTCCTCCTCACTCACCCTCCTCCCCCACCCAGCTCCCGAAATCGCCAACTCATAACTCCCCCTCAAGCGTCATCCAAGAACCCCGTTCTGGCCTCAACTCGTCTCACTCAGCCAGGAGTGACGGCAGCAGCAACAGCAGCAGGGGCAGCAGTGGCGGCAGCAGCAACAGCAGCAGGGGCAGCAGTGGCGGCAGCAGCAGACATGGAAGCAGAGTGGATGGGTCACGTCCAAATACCACCACAACCACCACCGCTACCACCAGCAACAGCAGTAGTCCTGTAAGTGCTGGTGGTAACAGCAGCAGCAGTACAGCCAGCAGCAATGCCACCTCTGCTTCTGCCCCTGCATCTACCACAGCAGCAGCTGCGCCTGCTGATTCGTCCTCTCGAGTAGGAGCAGGGGAGCATGATGCTTCTGCTGACAGCAGCAGCAGCGATGGGAGCAGCAGCAATGAGGATAGTCAGGGACTGAGTGGCGGTGCAGTGGCAGCGATTGTCTTCTTTGTAATCATCGGTCTGGCCATCGGGGCTGCTGCGGCCTTCTGGTGGCTTGGTGGGGCGAAGCTGCTTCAGAAGGAGTCGTTCAAGCGCAAGGGCATGAACATGTTCGTTGTGGGCGTTGGACCACACTGGAAGCTCGGGAAGAAGAAGGGGCATGGTGGAGGAGGAGGAGGGGATGGAGATGCCGGCTCCGAGAATGGAGGACTGGCAAAGGAGGAGGGGGGTGGGTACGGAGGGGATGACAGTGGGAAGGATGGGGAAGCCGGGGGAGCGAAGCCAAAGAAGAAATCGTTTATGTCGGGATATAAAGTATGGAAGCCGATGGATGCATCGCGGTTTGTGCCGTCGCGGCCGGTCATGGCACCTCCCTTCCAGAGCTTCCTTACATCACAGCCGGGATCACCGATTATTGACAATCCTGTCCCGTTGTCGCGCCGTGCGGGGTGGGATGACAACGACGACGACAATGACGATGATAACTGGAGCCCTCCGCGCTTTGCACTTTTAGAGCCTCGCACCGGCTTGAGGGAATATAGCTAGTACTTCTGGCCTCCAAAGGTCTTGTACTGGTGGGGGCAGTATGTGCTTCTCTAGTTCCAATATGTCAACAACCATGGTTGATATCATGCTTGCAAGAACATGGCCGGTGTTGCTTACACTGCTATGTTATTTTGACACCAATGTAGGTGTATTCAATGCAATAATGTAGTAGAGCCACGTATGGTCCCATGTGTGTAAGCATCTACTATATATCATGTATTGATTACGATAAGGAGCTGCAATCTGAGACTTGAACCTCACCTCTCCACACCACGCTGTCAAGGTGGATTGGTCAGGTCGGTGAGTTTGTTCCCGGAGATCGGGGAAATGTATTGGCCGAGAATGCATGATTGGGAGCCGCATCAGTCACCCTTATCGGGGGCTGAAACGTGTCTCGATTCGGCTGGCTGGGGCAGTTTTGTCTGCTTGCGTGCGCAGTCACGGCCATGTCATTAGCCCGGCACCCGGTGTTGGCTTTTCGCAGGCCAAGTGAGCTTCAAGCAGACATCAGTGGACCCGAAATATTTGACGTGGAACTAGCGTGGCGCCACAGAATATTTGCCCACAGAACATGTGGCGTGGATAGAGCACAACGCTGGCAAGGGAGAAGATGCCTCCTGGCGCGCCATGCTGAAGTTTCGGGATGCTCGTTCGTGTCGAGCCCTACAGATGCCCGCCACATCACAGAAGGAACAGAGTCCTCGGGATAAAGGAACTCGTTCAAGGGGCCACGAAGGAATCGCCCGGAATCCCAGGCTTCGAATGCATGAACCCTCCTCGTTCAGTCACATGTCTTTTTCCTAAGCGCTACCTGGAACCAAGACCTTGGCTTGGCGGATGGGGTAACAGTAGCAATTTGGAGGGGTTGTGGTGCTGGAACCAGTCCCCTCAAGCCAAACTGATCTGAAATTTGTAGATTGGGCTACCTTTCCATACAAGGTGAAAAAAAAAACCCCTGATCCATCTTGAGGGTGCTTTCTGCAGCGAGTGTTAGACCCGAGAGTTTAGCGGGAAGATCCGAGGCTGGAAAAAAGTTGCCTCGGGTCTTGCGAAAAACTGACGGCTCTAGCCAGTCAGCTGTCAAGACGAACAGCCAACAACGTCGCGCAAATTAACTTTCACCAATCATAACTTCGAAAAATTCTGGTGGACTCGCAAAGTTTGGTTAGTACAGTCGCAACCCTCCCCTTGCGACAGTTCATGACTATGCAGCCGCTGCACCGTCAAGAAAATTAAACCCGCAGTTAGGTTGTGACAACCCGCGGCTCCTTCGGCCGCGGGTCAACCTCGGGTCTGACACTCACTTAGGAATTCACCCTGACATCCTGATCTCCCAAGCTCGACTTGATAAGAACCAAGGCGATCCGAATTCAAATAACCCGCACCGCCGGGATTTTCTGTACACCACACTCGGAACACCTCGCCGGTCGTTAACCACCCGGCCGGCAGAAGTGTGTGCTCGTCGGTTGCACAAGACCTCCAGGACCTCTCATTGGTCTGTGATTCAAAAAGGCCGTCAATCTCTCCCGCACAATCCCTCATCCAAACTCTCCCGCCCAATGTCGCAACTTCGAACCAATCCGCATTGGACTCGACGACGACTTTGATTTGATGTCCTCAGTTCAGACGACAACGGCGCCCCGCAATTGTCGCAAGCAGCGATCAACTCCGCCCACATGTACGATCTAGCGGTGCGCTCCCCCTATGCGACACATTGTCCAACCAGTCGTGTCATCACATCACATTCAAGTCTCACTCTTTCTTGGGCCTTGGCCACACCGACGACGATTTCTTCAATTCAAGCCTTCGTCCAATTGCCCCTCCACAATTGCAGCGTCGCCGCCTCACCCTTCCACCACTTTATCCACCCCTCCCCGTCGCAGCCTTATCTCCGCCAATTTACAGCACCGCATTTGGATTGGAGTACAGTATTTCGGGTTCAAAATCAGAAGTCCTCAAACATGCCAACACTCTCGAGTCTTCTGATCCAGCAGCGCACCTGACGCTTGCTCGATTGAGACATTTCGGACCTCCTGAACACATTTCTCTCCACTACGCCGACCTAGCGGTTTCTCCCCGTGCAAGTCGTCATATTCGTGTAATAGCTCGCCGTCAGCATGCCATCGATTCCCTTTCGCCCTCCCAGCCCAATTCTGCAACGTCCAGGCTCCGACCTCAGAGTATACATCCCGTCCACCGCGCACAGCCGCCCATGGCCGATCCAAGGCGCGCAGGCAGTATCAATGGGCGACTCCGGTCGTGAACCCGCAGCGGGGTGCGTCCAGCGACCAGCGTCGCCGAGAATCGTCGCACGACCAGCCTCGCCACTCGTATCCGCACGACCGTCTTCTCCCCGCGTGGGCGCCAGAATAGCCTCGCCTCGCGTGGCGACGCGACCGGCACCTCTGGAGAGCGACCGTCAGGAACAATCGTTACAGCAACCGCTACAGTCACGACAGCAGCCGTTACAGCAACGGCTTCCGCTACAGGACTCGTTCGAGCTACCGTTACACTCACCAGCCGTAATCCCCCCTGGAGTCCTGGTGGACCATTACCCGCAGAATCCCCCTCTCGAGCCAGAAGGCGTGAGTTTCGAAGATGACGTGGCAGCAGTAAGAGGACCGGGAGCGGTGGGAAGGGTTCGCGCCAATGGCGGTGCATCGACAAATGGCATCAGCAGCGGCACTAGCAGCAGCCGTATGAGCGGCAATTCCGCCATTCCCCACTCGGAGAGCCCGCGACGCTCTCGCAGCCGGGTTGCGACGTCGCCGACTCGCCCGCGATCGACGCCGCAGCTAGAATGCTTCCGTGTGCTCGGCGTGCCTCGCACCGCCTCGCTGCAGGAGATACGCGTCGCGTACCGCTCCCTCTGCCGGAAGGTCCGTTGCTTCTCCCGTCCCCCGCCACTTCTCCCGTGACCCGCCACCTCTCATGTGCTCCGGCTTGCGGTCTTGCTAGGCTGCCGTGTCGCGACACTCCTATTCCCCACTCCTGCCGTCCTGCCTTCCTGCCGTCTGCCACCCACTTCGCATCCTCCCAACCGTCCTCTCCCTCCCCTCCCCTTTCCGTGCGCGTGCGCGTCGCTCTCCTGCAGTGGCATCCGGACTTGAATAAGGAAGCGGGAGCAGCCGCCATGTTCGTCGATGTCAACCGAGCGTACGAGGTACGCCAACGGGCTCCTCCTCTCCCCCGTTACCCTCCGCTGCGCCGTTTCCGCTCGTCACTCCTGGCGAGGTTTACGTCTCTGCCCAGCTTGACGTTTCTCACTCTCTCCTCCCAACGTCACCAATGTCTCTGTACCTTCATTCGCGCGTGCCCCTGCTTCTCCGCGTAACAACGCACCAAGAATCCGCTCACCGAGCCTCACCGTCCCGAGTTTTTTTTTCTTCTCTTTTCTTTTCTTTTCGCGTCCCCGTCTCCCCGTTTCCCTCTCTCCCCACGACCGTCCCCGCAGGCAGCGGTACAGGCGCACGAGCGCGCGAGCAAGGCGAAGCAGCAGCGGCCGGCGCGGAGAAAAGACGACTTCGACGAGTTCTGGGACGACTTTCTGGGCGGCGGGCCGTCCGTTGCCAAGGGCGACCCGCGGAGAAGACGACAAAGCGTGAAGCCGGGGAATGGTGGGGAAGGCGAGCGAATGAGAGACCCCTTGACTTGGTAACAGGGAGTGAGTGGGAGCAAGAAGGTGAAGATGGATGCTTGGGAGAGAAGGGACATTGGCGTGAAATGAGTCGATTTTTGAGTCGACTAAAAAATCGACTCATTAAAGATGGATGCTTGGGAGAGTGAAGGAACATTGGCGAGGCGAGGTATGGCAACATTGGGATGCCACACGAGATGAGGAGTCGAGGATTGGAAGGAGTTGAAGCAGCAGCCACGCCTCCATGGCATGGAGGTGTTTTGAGTGCGCCCAGAACAGAGTGGCTGATGGGAGGGATGACCAGGGCGATGGAGGAAAACCACTGCTGGACCAGACTGCTGCTGGCTCATGTAGTGTCTCCAGATAGGAAGATGGTGTAGTGGATGAATGGGGCAGGTGATTCTGACCATGACTGTGCTGGCGTGGTGATCGTGGGGATGGTATCGTGAGGCATGGTGGACGTGGTTGACAAGGTCCCTCTATGCGCTCAACCGCACACTGCTGGCGGCGCTTCCTGTGTGCTCTGACGTCCAACCCTCTACACGTGCACCTGCAACTAAGCACGAATGTCACTCGCATCGAGACATGTTGCTGCAGTCCCCCCTGTACCCTTAACCACTTTCATTGACCCACCCCAGCTCTCTCCTCTGAAGTGGATTTGTCTGTGTGCTCGTCCATAGGTTCGAGTGTTTGTGGACAGTGGTTATGGTTGTAATTTTGTAGGGTGCTAGCGTCTTTGTATTATTTTATTGTCAATATACACATGCTTTGTATTTTCGGGGGTCTTAGGGCATGTCCCAAGAGTACCTTTGATTGCGGCTGGGTGAGTGAGATGCTCACTTACTTAGCACGGTCGAAAAAGATTGGGTAGGGTTCTTGTGTGAAAACGTACGCTTGGGATGGGACACGCCCCAACACACTTGACATGAAGCCTAGCCATGTAAAAATTGACATCGTATATGCTTGGCAATCGCAGCTGCTTGAAACGAGGACATCCTGGCCAGAGAATCTTCTCGTCCCTCACTAGCTTGCGAGGAAGAAGGGCTGGATCCGCATTTACCGCGGCCTAGGCTAATTCAAGGCAAGTGCCCTCGCTGGGAGAACCGCGCTGACGTGTCATTCTACGTCAGACGCAATGCTGAGCGAGGCAGCCTGTCGTCCCTCGACCTCCAGTCTACTCGCGCCTTACCCAGTCAATTCACGCGGAGGTTTTCCCGTCAAAAGCGCGCTCCAAGGGACAGACCGCAACGGTCACATCGCTTCACCGGCCCTTCACACGTCTTCGGGGCCCCGCTGCAGCGTTTTTCGGCCAATTCGCTTTAGTCACATCCGTAGTAGTGAAATTCGGCAGGCACATCCAGCCTCCGACGGAAATGAGGGCGTGAACGCAGCGGGAAACGCGGCGAGGAACGCGGCGAGGAGTGCGGCGGGAAGTGCGGCAGATTATGTTGACCGTCATCAGGAGGCCGAGCGATTGCAAGAGCAAAAAACGGACACAAAACTGGTGTCCGCGTTAGAGTGGGATGTCGTATTGTCACAGCAGGGGTCGCGGAAGTGTGTGGTTGGATTGCTGCTCTTCCTCGCACTCTCCTCACCACCCTACGCCCCTCTCCCCCTAGTTTCGATACAAGCCTCGTCGTTTTCGGGACTAGGTACACTTGTCGCACCACCAACAGCAGCAGCAGCAGCAACAGCAGCGGAAGAAAGCGCGCCAACAGCAGCGCCTGACCTCTCCGCCACTCCCCCCGCGCGCAGATCCGCCTCTCCGCGCGTGGTGCTCCCCCCGCCCCCGTACCTGCGCCCGGGGGAGGTGGCAGCGGAGCGCGCAGCGTTTGAGGGGCGTGTGGATAGAGCAGTGCGCGCGCTGGAGGAGGGGCGGAGGGCGCAGGGGGAAGGCAGATGGGCGGACGCGCTAGCGCTCTACACGGAGGTGCGCGCGTAGCTCATATGGTAGCGTACTACTTGGCGTCTTGGCGCTCAGAGCTGAGTGGCGGCCAGTGCTGCTGAGTGGCGGTCATCGCTGCTTGCGTAAATTTTGAAGGAAGAGCCTGTATTGTATTGCAGAGATGAGAGTGTACTGCTCTGGCCGTTTCAATTCACCTAACAGCTTTGCCCTCCCTTCCTCTTCCTCCCCTCCCCTCTCCTCTCCTCTCCTCTCCTCGCTTGCCCTTGCCTGCCAGGTGCAGGAAAGCTACCCTGACCTGGCCCTGTCAGTGTACGGTAAAGTGGGGCGCGCTCTTATGGAGTATGAAGTGGGCGATGTCCGCACGGCGATTACCCGGTTACGCGTGCTCAGCGTGGAGTTCAAGGGCTACCCTGGTGGGTGCATGCGTGCATAGGCAAAGGCATGCATGGGTCCATGTGTCTTAGTGTCCATGTGTCTTAGTGTCCATGTGTCTTAGTGTCCATGTGTCTTAGTGTCCATGTGTCTTAGTGTCCATGTGTCTTAGTGTCCATGTGTGGATGTGTGCACACGCATGCACACGCATGCATGTCCGCGTGCCAGGCCAACCAAGGCGATGCATCCATACTGGCATGCACACACACACACACATGCCCCCATCACATTCTTGCTCCTAGCCCCCTCGCTATATGCCTGCATGAACTCCCCCTTTCTCCCATTCATTCACCACTCATCCTGCCCGCCCCCGTTCCCGCCGCCCCCGTTTCCACCGCCTGTCTTCCCTCCCCTCCCTTTCCCCCTGTACCTTCCCCCTGCATACGCCTCGGGTGCAGAGCGGCAGTTTCAATAAAATCTACCTGCCGCTCTCTCCCTCCCATCCCCTCCCCCAATCTTTCCACCCTCAGAGGTGCATGCAGCACCAGCAGCAGTGCGGTACACAGAGGGAGCAGAAGCAGCAGCAGAGAGGAGGTTCACCATCTCGTCTTCCTATCCCCTCCCCCAATCTTTCCACCCTCAGAGGTGCATGCAGCACTAGCAGCAGCACTTTACGTGGAGGGAGGGGCGGCAGCAGCGGAGCGGCAGTTCACCGTCGCCACGCTTCTAGACCAGCGCTACTCCGACCTCGCATGGCTGGCGGCAGAGAGACACTGGCCGCCCACCCTGCTGCTGCACATGAAACGCTTCCTGCTGCTTCAATGACACTGTTTGGTGTGTGTGGAGCCTCACGTTGAATCTGCTTCTGGGTCAACTCAAAAGCAGACCCGTTCCTGCTGCTTCGATGTCACCGTGCTGTGGAGCCTCACGTTGAAGCTCCGATCCGATACCCCTGGGAGCGACGCTCTGATCTGAAGCCTGGGTTCGACGACGCAGCCCCGCGTGATGTGTTGCTTGCTGCACCGGGGTCCGGGTCCGGGGCTTGCCCCTGGAGCAGGATGGAACGGATGGAGTGGAGAGGCGGTGCAGTGCAGTGCAGGAATTTACCAGTAGGTAGGTGGTGTGGTGTAGTGTGGCATGTACGGTAGTGTGGAGATCCGATGCTGTCAGGCCTGTTTCGATGTGTTCTGCTTTTTAGAACTCTGTTTCCACGTAAGACAGTTCTCTCTTGGCTTGAGAGCCATACGGATCCCCCTGTAACTGCTTGAGAGTGCAATGCACTGAAGTAAGACAATCAACTGCTTCCTAATGAATGAGAACCACGTGCACTGCTTTTGCACCGAAGTACCCCGTATTGGTTTTTGCACCGAACAGCAATCCTGCAATGCAATCAACCAGGCCTTCCGGGTTTACAGACAATCAACAATGCACTGAGAAACAGATGGATCATGGATATGTCGTAGCAATGACCGATTCCTTCCACCACACACCACCACTGCTTCCCTCCCAACCTTCTCCTCCTCCATACACCTTCCCTTCCACCCACCGTCCCCCGTCCACTTTCCCCTCCCGATCATCTCTGCCTCTCCCCATCCTCTCCTGCTGCTGTTATCCGCAACTTGATCCCTTCCCCAGCCTTCCCTTCCGCCCCTCCCCCCCCTCCCCCCCCTGCAGCAGCAGCTTTTCTCTCCTCATCCTGCAACAGCGCCTCTAGGTCACTCCCATTCGCAAGCGAGTTAAACTCCACCGCCTTGGAAGGCAGCGCGGGGTACCTCCTCTGGCACAGCGTCATCAGCCTCTTAACCGACTGCAGGTATTTCCGGGTGGTTTCGTCGTTCATGATGTGGGCCACGGAGCTCGCGTGGATCTTTTCGCGGGCAGACCGCTCGTGAATGCCCACCATGGTGACGCCGATGGGCCACGGCGCGTTCCCGATGGAGAGCTTGATGTATTTGTCCATGGCTGCCAGATAGTCTCGCTCCCGGCACTTGCCCACCATGTAGAGGAGCGCTGCCTGGATGTCCTCATACAGTTGCTGTTGAGGGGGGGGAGAAGGGGGAGGAGGAGGGGGAGGAGGAGTGGGGGGGGGAAGGTGGGTTGGGGAATTGAGATGGAGATGTGTGAGGTGGTTGGCAGGAGGTTTCAATGCAGGCAATAATAGGCCTTTCTTGCCCACCCTGTAGAGGAGCGCTGCCTGGATGTCCTCGTACAGTTGCTGTTGGGGGGAGTCAGGTGGGGGATTGACGTGGGGGAGGGAACGAGGGGGGGGGAGGGGGGAGGGGGGAGGGGAGAGGGGAGGGGGTGTTTGAAGGGCGGAAGGCGGAGGAATAAGAGGGGAGGATGAGAGGGCAGATGTTTCAGGCGGATGGCAGGAAGTTTGAATGCAGGCGAGTGGGAGTGGGTCGTGGAATACCAAAGGTCACCCCACTCCACTCCTATCCCCTCCGCTTCCCGTTCATCCCTGCTCTCTCTCACCTTGCGGCGGCACATGATGAAGAGCGGGTCGATAATACCACGCACACTGCTAGAACGTCGCCACCGCATTGAGCCGCCTCAAACCTCCTCTCCCCTCCTCGATCCCTCTTCTCCCACCCCTCAAAAGCTCCCCCACACCCCCCCTTTCCGCCTCACCTTGCGGCGGCACATGATGAAGAGCGGGTCAATGTACCGCGCGCGCTGCTAGAACGTCGCCACCGCTTTGAGCCGCCTCAAACCTTCTCTCCCCTCCCCCACTCCCCCTCCTTCCCCATTCCCCCCCCCCCCCCCCCCCCCCCCAACACCCCCTTTTTCCGCCTCACCTTGCGGCGGCACATGATGAAGTCTATTTTTGAGGGGCCTAAAAAAATAGACTCCTCACGCATGGGTCTCTCACCTTGCGGCGACACATGATGAAGAGCGGGTCGATGTACCGCGCGCACTGCTTGAACGTCGCCACCGCCGACTTGCCCTTCACCGTCCGCCGTTCCGCCTCGGGCTTCGCGTCCAGCTCCTGCTGCCACTCCCTCAGCAGCTTCTTAAAGAACACCAAGATCTTATCCTCCTCGCATAGATCCTCGAAGTTCGCGCGCATGCGCGCCGAGTCCACGTCGTCCTCTTCTTCTGATTGGCCCTCGTCCTCTGCGCCGCCCCCGTCCCCTCCGCCGCCGTCCCTCCCCCCGTCCTCCCCCTTTCCACCATCCTTCTTCTCCGCGTCCCCTTTCCGCGAGTCTTTCTTCGCGCGCGCTCCCCCGCCCCCCCCGCCTTTCTTAAGCTCCGCCATATCGCGCAGGAAATCGTTCTGCTGCCCCTCCAGTAACTCCCCGTCCGGATCCACCTCCCCCGTTTTCATCACGTGCTTCAAACGAGCGAGCCGCGCCTCGTCGTCCTCGCCGAAGAGCGTTATAGGATGCCTGAGAACGCGCAGCCGCTTAATTACCTCCGCACGTGGGAGCACCAGCGAGTCTATCCGGTCCTCCGTCTCCTTATCGATTCCCGTGCCGGACGTACCGGCAGTTACAGCCACGGTTTTGGACGCGCTAGCTCCGCCGCTTTTCCCGCCGGTTGCGCCGGAACCCTTGGCTCCCGCGTCGGCGGTCTGCTGCTTGGCCCGTTTCCGCTCGCGCTCCTTCTCCTCCTCCTGCCGCAGCTGCTCGATCTTCTTCCGTTCGATCTCGCCGCGCGCGACGAATCGACGGTTGCCGAAGTCCGCTTGGAACGCCTTGCGCTTTTTCTCGAGCTCTTTCTTTAACGCGTCCATGGGTACGGCCGGAGAGAGCGCTCTAAATAACTCGGGCTCAGTGTAGCGGTGAGGTGCCTCAAAATTCGTGTAGCAGCGGCAGCAGCAGAGCACGACTGGTCTTCGAAAAGTACCAACACACGTGCAGGCTGTGTGGAAGTACGAAGATTAGTAGCGTGTGCGGCGCTGAAGGAAATAAGTACCAGCTGAAGGAGATTAGAAGGTAGCCGCTGAAGGGATCGCAGCGCAGGATGTGCGGCAGTTGAGGGTTTCGCTATTCCAACCCCAAGGATTTTAGCAACGAAGGGACACGTGGCAGCATATGCGGGAATCGCGCGAAGAGCCGAGGGAGAGCAAGAAAGGTACAGTAGGGTCGAGGTGAGGGAAGGCAGGGGAGGGTATGTCGCCCATTGGTGTCACGACGTTCGCGAGTTTTGACGAGGTTCGCAATCTCATACAGTATAGCGTTACGCATGCAATCTTTCAAAGCGAAGAGCGGGTACAAAAACAGTTTTTTCGTAGGGTAGCCGCTGGGATAGTTGATTAGCTTTGTGCACTTTGGCCAAGATGCGTGAGCACAGTACTCAGCTAAGAGCGGTTCAGAGCAGAACATACCCCCATCTGCGTCATCTGAACACGCTCTACTACTTTTCATATTCTTGCTGTGCTGCTTGACCCCCTCGTCTTCGAGCAAGACCGACAAAGCCAGCACACGGAAACAAAGCACGCCACGCCTCGCTCTGTGCAAACCATTTCGAATCTCGACTCCCGATCTTTTGGTTCGTTACCGAAGCAAGTCGTGCATTCCCATCTTTCGCCACCGCACCTCCACCGACTAGCTCCGGCCGTGTCGACTAGACCGCGAAGTCTCAGTCCGCAGCATCCGTCATCTGCGTCTCGTATCGTCTGCAGCATCTACGGTTCGTTTCCCATCTCAGCATTCATCATGTCTGCTCCAGCCAGGCACCTCGCGGCTCGGCTGCCGCACCGCGAGCGGCAGGAGATCGTCAAGTCCATTCTGCTGCCGGCGTTCTCGCTCTCATCATGCTCCCCTTCCCCCTCCTCGCGTCCCGTCACCGGATCCGTCGATTTACGGCCCGCAGAGCCGCCAGGTTGCTCATCCACCGTCGATCCAGGTCCGCCCCGCCAGTTCATCGAGCAGATCTCCGGTTTTTCCGGAGGATCTGACGCTGCGCGGCCCGTGTGCCAGCCTGCGGGCCGAGATCCGCCATATCCGTCCGCAGTTTCAGGGGCGAGGCATGGATCTGGGCCGTTAGGCGCCTCCTTATTGCACGATCAGCAGCAACAGCAGCAGCAGCAGCAGCAGCAGCAGCCCGGACTTCATCAGACCCACTCGCATCCCCATGCGCACGTGCTCTCACTCTCCCCCTTCTCGCGCCTCGAATCTCGCGATCGCAATAGCGGCTTGCTGGCTCAGCGCACCTCGTCTGCCGCCTTCCACGCCGCAACCGCCGCCAGCAGCCCCTGGCCACTCCCCGTTCGACACCTGGCACTTGCCAGCGGCGCGCTTGCGGAAGGGCCCGATAGCTGGGAGGGCACGGGGGATCAGCGCAACGGGCGAGAGCGCAGAGGGGGGGGGGATGGGCGGGGAGGGGACGGGGTTCAGGGTTTCGGGGATTTTGGTGGGGAAGGGGGAAGGAGAAGGGGGGAAGGGGGATCACGTGGCGGAAGGGGCGCAGGGGGCGGCGGGGAGGGTTTTGGGGGGAAACCCAGGGGCAGCAAGAGGCCTGAGAACAGACGCGCTGGCCCCATATCTCCGCAGCTGGGGGGGGCGCAATCCCGCGGCCCCCGCGCGCCCCGCGGACCGTCTGTCGGCGCCAGAAACGCCAGCTCCCCGCGTGCGCCGATCGCGGCACCAGATCCGGGGCCGCGGGAGGTGCATCTGCCGCACGGGCGAATGACGATCCGCCAGCTGGCAGTGCGGCTGGGGAAGCGCATCGAGGAGGTGCGCGCATGCCTGGCGGCGCTGGGGGAGGAGGTGAAGGGCGCGGAGGAGAGGGGAGGCGGGGGGAGTGGGCGCGCGGGCGCGGACGCTATGGTGTCTGCGGATGCTGCGGAGCTAGTTGCTCTGGTACGTGCATAGCGCGTGGGGTGTGGTGGATGGTGCATGGTGGTGTATGAAGCTTGGTGGCGTATGATGTATGGTGCATGCTGCATGCTGCATGGTGCATGGTGGTGCATGGTGCATGCTGCATGCTGCATGGTGCATGGTGGTGCATGGTGCATGGTGCATGCTGCATGGTGCATGGTGGTGCATGCTGCATGGTGCATGGTGCATGGTGCATGGTGCAGCTTGGCATGAATGTACCCTATTGCACATACTAACCTCAGCACTTCCCCCCTTCCTTCCCCCCTTCCTTCCCCCCTTCCTTCCCCCCTTCCTTCCCCCCTTCCTTCCCCCCTTCCTTCCCCCCTTCCTTCCCCCCTTCCTTCCCCCCTTCCTTCCCCCCTTCCTTCCCCGTCCGCCTCCTCGGTAATTGTCCCCTTCTCCCTTACGTCTGACACCCTCCCCTCTCCCCAAGCTTCTCCTGCTCCCCACCTCTCCCCTTCCGCCCACCTCCCCCCCTCCGCCCAGGACTTCGGATTCCTAGTCTCTAGGGGGCGGGACCTGCGCGCGGACGATGGCGCGGGCGCAGCGGAGGCAGAGGGGGCGGAGGCGGAGGGGGAGGCGCGGAAGGCGTGGCCGTGGCGCGCGCCAGTGGTGGCGGTGATGGGCCACGTGGACCACGGGAAGACGTCCCTGCTGGACGCGCTTCGGAGCACGTCAGTTGCGGAGTCAGAGGCAGGGGGGATCACTCAGGTGCTCTTATGGGGCGGGAAAGGGGGTAAGGTGAGGGTAAGGTGGATGAAACGGTGGGGCGGGAGGTTGTGGGTGCACTGCTGTGCGCAGCAGTGGTGACGGGTATGATGGTGCACGTGGACCAGGGGATGCGCTTCTGCTGGACGCGCTTAGGAGGAGTACCTCCTGTTGTCGAGTCAGTGGCAGGGGGGATCACTCAGGTATGCTTCATAGGTGGTTGATCCGGGGGAAAAAGGGGCGCAAGGTGTTTGGTGCCGGCCGCAGCAGCAGCAGCAGCAGCAGCAGCAGCAGCAGCAGCAGCAGCAGCAGCATATTGGGAGCATTCTGCGTGCGATTGAACCCCAACTCGTCCTCCCCATTCTCTTCTCCACCCCCCCCCCCCCTCCCCTCTTCTTCTTCCCCCGCTGCAGCACATAGGCGCGTTCAGTGTGCAGATGACGTCAGGCGCAGCGCTGACCTTCCTGGACACGCCAGGCCACGCGGCGTTTGCGGCGATGAGGGCGCGGGGCGCAGCAGTGACCGACATAGTGGTGCTCGTGGTGGCAGCCGACGACGGCGTCATGCCGCAGACCGTTGAGAGCATCCAGCACGCCAGGAGCGCCGGTGAGTGGGTGTGGGTCTAGGGGAGATGGTACTTTTGCCTTCTCTCCTCTCCTCTCCTCTCCTCTCCTCTCCCCCTCTTTCTCCCCTGTATATCCTTCCTCTCTCTTCCTATAGTTGTCGCTCTTTGTCTTAAAATGTGCCCCTCTTTTTCTCTCTCCGCTCCTTCGTCCCGAGGCCTGCCCCTGGTGCTGACGATCACCGAGTGTCAGAAGGAGGGTGCAGACTTGTTCCCCTCCCTTTCCCCCCCCCACCCCCCCCCCTGTCCAATTCTTCCCCCCACCCTAGCTCATTCTCTCGCTCTCCCCCTCTTCCCCCTTCCCCCAGGCGTGCCTCTGGTGGTGGCGATAACCAAGTGCGACAAGGAGGGTGCAGACCCCGACCGAGTCACCCAGCAGCTGATAGCGGAGGGGCTGGAGCTTGAAGAAATAGGGGGAGACGTGCAAGTGGTGCGCGTGTCCGCACGCACGCGCGCTGGGCTCGACTCCCTAGAAGAGGCCCTGGCTTTACAGGCCGAGTTGATGGATCTCAAGGGGAGGCGGAGCGGGGAGGCGGAAGGGGTGGTGATCGAGGCGAGGATGGCGCGCGGGCAGGGGCCGCTGGCGAGCGTGATTGTAAAGGGGGGGAGTCTGAGGAGCGGGATGTATGTGGTGGCGGGGAAGTGGTGGGGGCGCGTGCGGAGCATCAAGGGGTGCCGGGGGGAGAGCTTGAAGGAGGCTGGCCCGTCCACCCCTGTTGAGATAGATGGGCTCAAGGGCGTACCTGAGGCGGGCGATACTCTCATCCAGGTGGCATCTGAGGCGCGGGCGCGGCGCATCAGCGAAGCGCGGCAGGAGGCAGCGGACCGGCAGAGGTTGCAGCTGCAGCAGAGAGCCACAGCCGCATCCCAGGGGCAGCAGGGCCAGCAGTCAGGGCAGGAAACAGGGCAGGTGCAAGGCCGGGGTACCGCTGCAACCCCCACCTCTACCAACGGAGGTTCAACAGCAGCAGCAGCAGCAGCAGCAGCAGCAGAAGGTGGAGCAGGAGAGGGAGCAGCTGGTGGCGAGGAGGAGCAAGGAGAGGGGGCGGGCCAGCGGGAAGTGGTGCTGGTGCTGAAGGGGGACGTGCAGGGGTCGGTGGAGGCGGTGGGGAGTGCGCTGGAGCACATGGGGTGCGAGAGGGTGCGTGTGTGCGTGGTGCATGCGGAGGTGGGCGCCATCTCCCAGTCGGATATTGACATGGCGGAGGCGACGGGCGCCGCGGCGATAGTGGGGTTCAACGTGAGACCCATGGGCGCTGCTGTGGAGGCTGCTGCCAAGCAGGCGGATATTCCGGTGGGTGGGGTGTGGGGCTCTGGTAGGCGCGTGGGATGCCAGTAGGCACATGGGATGCCGGTAGGCGCGTAGGATGCCGGTAGGTGCGTGGTGCATGTGGTACGATCTACCAGTCGGATTTATACATGGTCGAGCCTGCCGGTGCAGCTGCCATAGTGGGGTTCAATGTGCGGCCCATGGGCGCTGCTGTGGAGGCTGCTGCCAAGCAGGCGGATATCCCGGTGGGTGGGTGGGTGGATGGGTGGGTGGGTGGTTGGGTGGGCGGGATTCTGGGGCCTGGTGAAACCGGTTGTGATCGGTAGCAGCATCGGGGTAAGAGCTTGCGTTGTTTGCAGTCCCCTTTCACTGGCAATGGCCGCTGCTGCCATTATAGGGTTCAATGTCCGGTGCAGTGCGGCCTCAATGGGCGCTGCTGTGGAGGCGGCTGCCAAGCAGGCGGAGATTCCGGAGGGTGGTGGGGTGGCTGGGTGGGATTTACCTGCATGCATGCAGCCCTGTTGTATTCCAGCCAACACCTCAAGGGGATGTCAAGGGGTGCTGCTAGTTATCCCTTCTCCAACCAGTGCCTCCCAACTGTTCGCTGTTCCCGAATGCCCAATGCCCTGCACTGTCGCCACACAATTGCTCCCAATACCCTGCCGTTTCTCCCACCCTCTCTTCCCCCCTCCCCCAGATCCGCCTGCATTGAGTCATCTACCACTTGCTGGAGGACGTAGGTTCATTGGTGGTGCAACGCTTCTTAAATGGCCCAGCTTTCCCCCCACCTCTCACAACCTACCTCGCACCCCCCCCCACTCCTCCCCCCCCTTTCCCCCTCCCCTCCCCCAGATCCGCCTGCACCGAGTGATCTACCACCTGCTGGAGGACGTAGGGTCATTGGTGGTGCAGCGGGCGCCCACTGTGCGCTGCACTGTGGTCACGGGCCAGGCCCAGGTGCTGCAGCTCTTCCCCCTCAAGGGAAAACCCGCCCGCCGCTCCCCCTCCTCCTCCTCCTCCTCGCAGTCTAACTCCAGCAGCAGCAGTAGTAGCAGTGGTGGTGGTGGTGGGGGTGGGAAGAAGGAGGGAGCAGGTGCGACGGACGACAGTGCAGCGGGGATGATTGCCGGGTGCAAGGTCACGGAGGGGAGGTTCCAACGGGGGGCGAAGCTGCGAGTCCTGCGGTCTGGAGAGGTGGTATATGAGGGGCAGTGTGCGTCGCTGAGGAGGGAGAGGTCAGATGTGGATGCTGTGAACGCGGGGGTGGAGTGCGGGGTGGTGGTGCGCGGTTGGGGAGGGTTTCGGGTGGGTGATGTGTTGCAGGTGATTGGGGAGAGGGAGGAGGGGCCGAAGCTGGTGTCGATGCGGGGAGGGGGGATGAAGATACAGTACCCGGAGGAGGACCAGGCGTAGAGGATTTGGGTGGGGGGAGGTTGAAGATGATAAGGCTTGTTATAAGGTCGAGAAGGGTCAATATTCAATAAAATGTATTGGTGCAGGGTCATTGTTATTGACAAGTGCAAGTTCCCTGGATCATGTGGTAATAACACATGTATACGAAAAACGAGCACTGGCTGGTATGATTGTTGCCGTATAGTACTTGTAAGCGGCCTTTGGGAAAGTAAAGCAAAACAGATATTTATCCACCTTTTTCCCCTAGCAAGACGAGTGTACTGCTCGTTATTACCCTTATTATTCCAACCATGGAGCCATATTCTGTTGAAGGATCTAGCCAACCCCATTGCTCCGCATTTCGCGGACTACTTACCTATTCCCGTCCGCAGCCGATTCAAGGCCAGTGATTTCGGAACCTAGAGTCCCGCGGGCCGCGCCGTCCCGCTTGACGTAGCGCCGTCGGCTTCGGCCTATCGAGTCCTGCTGCTTTGCGTATCTCCTGTATCAGACACAGCACTTATCATCCAGACCGAATCTTACCGCACGGTATAGACCGAATCTTAACCGCTTTCAGCTTCGTGACCGTCAGACTGCGGATTGGAAGTTCAACATTCGAAATCCGCTTCTTCGAATCCCAGGAGCGTCTGATTCGCAAAGGCTCGCGTTGCGTCCAGTCCAGTTCCCAGATGTAGCAGCAGCCTGCAACTTAGCACCAGCACGAGCACCAGCGCTAGCACGAGCATTAGAACGGGCATCAGCACTAGCGTGACCGTTAGTCTCAGTATAGTCTCAGCCCCTGGAGCTTTCGTCTTCAGCAGCAGCAGCAAGGGTAAAGTAGAAGGAGGGAGAGAGAATATAGCACGAGCAGTCTGCAATAGCACCAGCATTAGCACTAGCACCAGCACCAGCACTAACATCAGCGGTAGCGTGACCACTAGTTCCAGCACCTGCCGCTTCGTCTTCAGCAGCAGCAGCAGCAGCAGCAGCAGCAGCAGCAGCAGCAGCAGCAGCAGCAGGAGCAGGAGCGCGAAGGATACAATCGAGGGAGGGGAGGAAGCGAGAAAGATCAAAGGGCGAAGCTAGGATGGTTCGCGAGGAGATGCAGGAGATCGAGGAAATGGAGGGGATGGAGGGGCTGGGGGGGATGGGGGGGCTGGGGGTGATGGAACTACCAGCCGATGCGCCCATGCTGGGGAGGATCCCGAAGCCTGCAACGACGGGCACGGGCGCCGCGAGCGCGTCGCTGCGCGTGGTGACGTACTCCGTGCTGCTGCCGACGTTCAACGAGCGCGATAACATCGGGCTCGTCGTGTACATGATCGTCAAGGCGTTCCAATCCATGTGCGTTGGGATGAGGGGGCGTGGGGGGGCTGTACGGCGGGTGTAGAGTGCGCGTGGTGAGATACTCGGTGCTGCTGCCGGCGTTAAACGAGCGCGAGGACATCGGGTGCGCTCGTCGCGTACTACGCGAGCATAGTAGATGTGGAGTGGGTGTGGGGCTGGGTTCCATGATCGCCGATACGGTCAACGCGTCTAGTTTTGAGGCGCCTCAAAACGCGAGCATAGTAGATGTGGAGTGGGTGTGGGTGTGGGGCTAGGCTCCATGATCGCCGATACGGTCAACGCGCACGAGGAGTGCATGTGGAACAAGTCCTCCTGAAGCCCTCGTCGTCTACATGCTCGTAAACACCTTTCAAGGCGTGTGCGTGAGGGTCGATCCGGGTGTGGGTGGGTTGGGTGTACGACGGGTGTAGAGTGGGGCAAGAGGCATACCGTTTCCATCCGGTTGTTGTCAAAGACGGCTCCTTGTTGCCTGTTGCACTCCCCGCCAGGTTCCCCCACCCCCCCCCCCCTTCTCCCCCGCACCCTCTCTCCCTCTCTCCCTCTCTCCCCCACCCCCCCTTCTCCCCCGCGCCCTCTCTCCCTCTCTCCCCCACACCCCCCCCCCCCCATTCCCCCTATGGCAGCAAGGCGTCGTGTGAGATCATGGTGTTTATGACAGCAGCCCACCATTCCCCCACCCCCGCCCCCCCTCAACCCCCCTCACCCCGCCTCACCCCCCACCCCCCCCTTCTCCCCCGCGCCCTCTCTCCCTCTCTCCCCCACACCCCCCTCCCCCCATTCCCCCTATGGCAGCAAGGCGTCATTTGAGGTCATCTTGATAGACGACAGCAGCCCAACACCCCCCCCCCTCCCCCCCGCACCCCCGTCCCTTTTCTTCTCCCCCCCGTGTTTCCCCTCGCCCTCCCCCCATGACTGGCAGCAAGGCGTCGTTTGAGATCATAGTGATCGACGACAACAGCCCTGATGGCACGCAGGAGGCGGTGAAGAAATTAGCGACGCACTACGGGGAGGACACCATCGTGAGTGGATGGGAGGGGGGGGAGGGGTGGGGGTCTAGTTTTGAGGCGCCTCAACAGCCAATAGTTCTGACAGCCTGCAGGAGGCGGGGAAGACGCTCACCTCACCAGACACTCCGGCGAGGATAGTAGGATACCTTTGTGAGTTGGAAGGAGGATGGTGGGAGCGAGGGGGAGATGAGGAGGAGGAGGGAGGAAGGTAGGGGTTTGTTTGAGCAGGAGATACAGGGAGGTGGTGCGAGGGCGACGGGAGGACAGGGGAAGCAGCTGGGTGTGTGTGATGGGATTTGGGGAGTTTAGTATCGGCTATTGTCGCTTCCATGCGCCATCTGGTGCTTCTTCATGCGCCGTGCGTCCGCACAGTTTCACACAGTGCGAAACACACAGTTTCTACGCTTTTCATTATCCGGATGACCGTGTGTGTGTGCGCGCGTGCGTGCATGTATTTCTATGTGTGTGTGGTGGGGGAGGGGTGTGGTGGGTGTGGGTGTGTACGCATGTGTGTGTGTGTGCATGCGATCTTGTTTGTGTGTGTCGCAGCTTCTACGTCCAAGACCGGGCAAATTGGGACTAGGTGAGCTCAACCCCAGTATGCATCCAATCGAACCCACATACCCCCCCCCCCCCCCCCCCCCACTCCCCCTCTTCCGCCCCATTCCCCTCCCCACCATCCCATCACCCTCACCCCCACTTGACGGCCCCATACTCAGCCCCCTCTCTATTTCTACGTTTCAGTTCACAAGCCGTCTCACCGTGCGATCAACAACTGTCCTCCCAATCTCCTGTCCCCTTCCCCTCCCTCACTCCCCCCCTTCGCCTCCGCTCCCTCCCGTTCTTCCATGCTGCCCCTGGCGGCGTGTGTGTGGGATGGCAGGCACGGCGTATGTGTTTGGGTTGCAGCATGCGCGGGGAGAGTACGTGTTCATCATGGATGCTGACCTGTCGCACCATGTGAGTCGTGACCTGCCTGCCATCGACCTTTTTACTACTCGACCCTTTTTGTAGGTTTTGCTTTTCTTGGAGTTTCCTAGTCATATGTGATTGTGAGTTCCGCACCGCATGGCTCGCAAGCTGCTGAACCCACGTGCTGACCAACTCACACACTTTCTGGCCGATTTACAGCTGCCTGTTTCCTACTCTCCGCTGCAAACCTCGCCACCAGGCTCTCTTCCCCCCCGCCAATTCTGCTGGCATGCTACCAAGAACCAATCTGTAGACCCTCTTGTGCCGCAGCTGATTCCTCTCGCCCACTCCTAATGTCATGTCTCTTTCCTCCCATCTCCATCCCATTCTGTCTTGTGCGAAATACAACCCAATGACCATCATGATGGGGGGCCCGGTCTTTGTTTGGACGTGGATTGGACAAGCAGCCCAAGTACATCCCACAGTTCATTCGGTGAGTTTTCTTCGGGTGCGTAACTTTATGCTCGGCTCACTTGTAACTGTTCGGTTTTTTCAGGGTATCCGCCTTCGCGACTGTCGTGAATTGGCTTTGCCGCTCCATAAAAAAACGTGCATTTGAAGTCCCAAAAGCATGCACCACAGACAGCTTGAATGTTTTCCATTCCAGCTCACTTCGCAAAAACATTTTTGCCGAAGCCGAGTTGGGTTTGTAAAGCATTTCTCCCCAAGACTGAAGGGCGCTCGCAAAATCTAGTTTCGCAAAATCTCACTACTGTTTTCCGGTGCCACAAATGCTGGCTCCGTTCGCACTGTGAACAGAGACAGATGCAGACATAGTGACA